TAGTTGCTTCATGAGGCATCGCCAATGTGTCGCAAGTCACGTGCATTCGACATTATGTGACGCCACAGCACCACAAACTGGTTCTGCCTTGTTCAATTAAAACATAATGCACTAGTAACATAATTCTCTCCTTATTGCCTAGGTTGCCCAAACCACCAATACAGGGATTCTGAGGATTCCTTTTATCTGAAGAAGCTGAAATGGAAGGTCATAAAATGCAACAAAAAAAAAATGCTCCTTCATCGTCTTTCGCCCAGTACAAACTGACATGTCTAGCTAATTGCTTCAGGGAGCCCAACGACGTTACAACGCACAAAATGAAAGCAACTGCATGGCAACTCCATCGGTAGTGGATTATTCTGTCCGTCTTGTTTTTCTGTACTATTGTTCTGTCATGTGTGCATTCAATTTTGTTATCCTCTGCCTGCATTCCCCCAGGGCAGTTTCTCAGCCGCTAATACATATTATAGCTTTTTGGATCCAATTAATTTGAAGGATATGAACCTCAGCTTTCCCAGTGCCACAGAGGCATTGCCAGCGCCCGTCCTACTCAAAAGATAACGAAAGCCCATCCCCCTCTCCGCTCCCTCCCCCCCTCCCCAAAGTCTTCCATTTTGCTGGGGCCTCTTGTCCCCCATCCCCCTCATACAGCATTTTGTCATGGGCGCCGCGGAATCAAGATTTTGGCTACGTGCCTGGCTTGCACCCATTTTTTGTTTGTTCATTACTGTAGGATTTAACTGTAAGCACAGTGTTAATGCAGAGTAAAAGATAGCAGCATACTCTTGTTGGCTAGTGCTGATGATTGGACCAGTTGGTAGACAATTATTAAAAATAAATTGTGAAGAATATGGGAACAGAGCATACGGACATGACACAGCACTGTGTTCATCTCCTCCTCCTTGTCTGTGCGACTCCCATTCTTTTTTTCAGATAATAATTCATTTTTAATGATTTTCTGTTTGGTATCATCTGTATGGGGGTTCACTGTAACGACCCACCTGCCATTGCATTCACTTTGGGGGCAGCTCCCTCTTCCTTATGGTGCCATCGTAGAGGAAGTGCAGGGTGGGCGTCACTCTCACTCTTGTGGTGCAGTTCTTCAGGTTCCCATAGGTTGCAAGCTGCCAGCCAAACTGAGTCAGGCCTGCCAGCCCTGCGGGAAATGTCAATTCCACTCTTTTAGACGTAGACACCCACGTTTTGAGTGTACCTGAAAAAGCTTCAACAGAGAGGAAACGCAATATTTAGCCCTTTTTGAATGCATCTTTTTCTTTTGCTGGGAACATGCATAACACCACACACTAGTGTACATTCAGTGGTGTGGCTTAATTTATGATGAGCATTTTTTATATAACTTGAAGCATTTGGCGAAAACGTACAATATAATGGGTCTTACAGAAATTGTTTCTGTGAACTATCCTACACTTTTACACATTACCTGATATCATGAAAGCAACATAGCAGGGAAGGCTGTACTGCATGAATTACACATGATTTATAACCAATTAAAAGTTGGTATTTTTTCATTTATTACTATTGGTTATTATTTTTTGACAGAAAGAATAACTGGGCGAGTCGGTGCGTTGGTAGTCTTTCAACACCATCGAATATTCAGGATCTTTTCGCATTTTTTCATACTTTTGCTTTTTCTAGCTGCTCTGCTTTTGAAGCGGCTTTCGCTGCCCCATAAAAACGCGACATTCAAACTCACTTTATTTACATCGCACAATCGTAAACTTCAAAAGCGTGCCGTTTCGGCATACGCGAAATGACCGCGCGTTTCTGCGGCACAGGCATAATAAGCATAGGCAAGAAATCATGCTGCTCGCTCTTGTAACGTTTTTTCTCGCTCCCGCTTTACGAAACGAATCGGTGGCGAGCGGCTGTTGAGACCACACGGCAGAACTAGCATGACCTGTGATTGCTTGAACTGCCGTCAGACTGCACTTGAACGCTCCGCAAAATGCGTCATCGGACGAACGTCGTAGAACGGCGCCCAGAACAGCCTCTCGGTTCCGCCGCACACGAATCTTTCTCACCCTGCGGAGCAAGCCATAGGTTTTGAACAACGTACGCTCTTTTCAATTAACGAAATAACACCGGCCAGAAGCATCGTTAGAATCAAGCATAGCTTAGCAAGCACATCGTACACGACAGTTTCAAAACAGCGACGCAGTTCGCAAAAACAGAAGTGCTCACCGGCGTTTGCAGCAGTGTTGATGGACTGTCCGCCACTTGCGTTGGTAAGACGCAGCGTCTCCCAGCTCTCAGTCATCCCTTGCTACGCTTGAACACGTTATTCGTAAGGAAGATATCTAAAATATCGGCTAAAACGTAAAAAGGAAGCGATCCTCGAAGCCTGTGTAACACCCAACGGCTGCCAACGGTAGCTGAGTGCAATAGCGACGGGCCTTGCGCAGTCTTCAAAAGGCTCTTCTTTTTTTTTTTTTTTAAACGAAACTAAGCAAATAAGTATTATATTACTATTAATAGTGTCACTATAATGTTGTGGAAAGTTAACAAAAATTTAGCCTATCTTAGGTTTTATCTAAGTTTTAGGTTTTCTTTTTAAACACGAAACCGAAACTATAGCTCAAGCACGTTTCGTTTGTCGTATTCATTTCCGTGCGTGCGTGCGTGTGTGCGTGCATGCTCCCGTGCTCGTGTGCGCGTGTGAATACGTCCTCGTGGTTGTTTCTGCGTGCGTCTGCGTCTGCGTGCGTTTGCGCGTGTACATGCTTGCGTACGCGCGTGCGCGCGTGTATGTGTGTGTGCGCGCGCACAAGCATATCTATTTATGCATTCTATTGAACTACGCTAGCAAGAAGGCCAATAGACCGATCTCACCAAGCGTTCCACGCATGCGTGACTCCGCCATTGCTGTAGTTCGTAGGAGGCAGACGCCAATTCACGAGATAGCTCATGCCGCCTCGTGCTCTGCACGCGGAGACCTCTAGCAGGGTTGTCGCGTGTGCAGAAAGACTACAGCTCCCACGATGCATGTCGGCAGCGGTGGAGTATACTCAAACTAGCTGTGGGATCGGTCTATTGAATGTCCCTGGGCACTGCAAAAAACAATGAATGATTTTATTTTTATTGTTATTATTGAACTATGCCAGCGTGAAATCCGGTGATTCTTCCTTAACTCCGCAGTAAATACTAGTTGATTGATTGATTGATTGAGCTTTATTTTTGCTGGTCGTAATTTGAAATAGATGCCGATCAGATTTTCGGAGTAACAGATTTTGGTTGATTAGCCATAACTAAAAATAAAATGAATAAAAAATATACTGTGGTTCATCAATTCATTTAATGTACGCTGAGCCTAGTTATATAAACTGAAGACGACATACAGATATCTATCGCTTCCTTTTTTTCTAGATTATGCTGTTAAAAATAAAGAACACCCTTGACCCAATAACTGAGCACCGTTCCAACACCCTTCCAGCTCTCAGCACCCCTCACAATAAATCGGAAGGGTGCTCGCGCAAAAGCACCCTCGCTTTCGTCAAGGGTGCTAGACGGCTAAGTGAAGGGTGCAAACCCCCTGCAGCACCCCTAAAGGGTGCTGTAGCACCCTTAAAGGGTTTAAAAAAGTTAAGTGTGTACTTAAAATGTAGCCTTTGAAAATTAATTTCTACCGCCACATGCAAAAAATTTTTATGTTGGCTGTTTTCTGTAACCTTTATCTTTGGGTTTTTCAGTGTAGAGGAGGAGGCAAAAAAATTAGCATTGGCCAAGGGACAAATATTGGCATGTACCGTTATGGTCAGTCGGCAGCCCTATACGGTTCATAAATGCAGGTTGGCGAGGTGAGAAGGGTGCGTCTGTGACAAACATAGATTGTAGCACCTAAGTTCCCAGTCTTCTGTCGGTGTTTGTCCCTTTTTTTTCGCAACTTGACTTCCCTTGGCTATGTTTGCTGATACCGAAAAGAACCCATTATCGCACCCAATGAACGCTGGCGACCGATGACACCGCCTGACAAAGCGTGTCTGCCCAAACGTCCCTGCTTTTTGCCTTCTTCTTTTAGACATATTGTTTCTCATCCGTGCACTTGTTAGTGGCCTCTTACCCATAGAATAACTTATATGTACACAGGAAGGCTGCTGCCAGCAGAAAGAAAACCGTCCGCTGTAGCAGTTAAAAGTGAGAGCAAAGCAAAAAATCGCTGATTGCGAAAATAAACCAGTGATGCGTCGGATCTTTCCGTGGCTTTTTTTATCTCCAAACCTGTCAGCTCATTTTTAACAATAAATGTTACAAGATACATAAGTCTAGCAGCGTATCATAATACATCGCAAAAGTATTTCATTACTGAAACACAAATAGATTTCGTAAATGCATTTCGGTACAGAAATAGAGATACTCACAAGTGCCCCTAAGATTATATCACAATGCTTGCATGTTGTGATGTTGCCCCGATTGTAATTCTTCATTCGTTTTACATTGCTGCAGACGCCTGTTACTTGTTCCAACATAAGCACTGTATGCCTGTGTGTAGGCTGATGCTCATGGCCTTAACTGCAGCGAATAATAGCAGTTGACAAGAGCAAACATGTTTTGGCCTTCTACATTAAACTATGTTTTGCTTTATCCTTTTACCTAACGCAGGACGAGAACACCCCACCGGCACCATGTGTCCTCTACAACAAGCAAGAGCTGGACGATGCAGACTTTCTTCACCTTGTTGAGGACCGTGAGCGCTTGTTTTCCGTTTTTAATGCAGAAGAGGGGCTGTGGATGTTGTTGGCAGCATATTGGCTTTTCAGCATCCAGTACGAATGCAAGGCCTCCAACACACTGGTTGCTCTGGAGAGGATTTTCCTTGGCTTGAGCGACACCAATCCAAGGACAGTCGTAATTAAATTTTTGAACAAAGTTTGCAGAAAGGTATGTGGTTGAAGAGATGTTTCGTGAGCCGTTTTAAAAGTGTATAATCCACTTTTCTCGCCAGTATTATCAGGTTAATTTTTATTTTGCTTCCATAACGAATGATGGAAGGTTTTATGAAGGCATGTTTTACTTTTTTTCTTTAAATGTTGGGCACTTTCTGAGATAACTAATGCTGACCTCATCTAGACGAGGTGCTTAGAATTTAGCTGTACGAGTTCCTTATCCATAGTCGTCTTCCAGAACTTTATAATTTTCTTTGTACGTGAGCAAGAGGATAGCGTCTTCTACTGAAACGTTTGCTTTTTTGCCGTAGAGTGCAAGGTCATTCTGTAATATTTTTCATTACATGTTTGCAGATAGCATTCTTTATTTCATGGAATGGCATACATTGTATTTCCCATTTCTCAAGGCTCAATAAATGTTCAATTTAACACATTCTAATTGATGTCATAATGAGCTTCACCTAATGAAATACTGCTGAGGTTCAGTCAAGGGCTAAACCACCCCCCTCTACCCTGCTTCCAATTAGTAAACAGATGCGCGTAGGAGATAAGTGATAAGCGAAGCGTGTTGCCTGCAATCCTCTGAGATAAAGAAAACATGTCACTTGATCTCCAAATCAGGAAAGCTTTACATGCTTCGTTTGTGGCAGACCATGATATTCACAATGGTTCAGCCGTGCAGTACGATGCTTGGGGCCACTGCTTGCTCACTTAGAGTTCGAGAAAGGGGGGTGCCGTAACACTTCCCAAGTGCCCACGGGGTTATGATGTGGCTTGCAAGGAGCTCTTTTGTATTACTTCTTCATGAAGTGAGTTGTGTTTAGTGTGACTCATTATTTCTTTATCACGTGCCTCGTATGTGGTGATGTGGCAATCCCTCTAAGTGAAAAAAATGTAAATTTGTTCAATAAACATGATAAGCTGTAAATCATATAATAATAATTTAAGAATATGCAATACCATATATGATTCTCGTACAATTCACAAGTTATGATATGTGTATTTGACAGATTCCAATGAAATGTTCACTGGGGTCTATACTTCATTTCACCCTTCGTCCGAGCGCGGCGGACGCTACCAGCCAATCCAGTGTCGAGAGAGCGTCATGTGACCTTGAACTCCACATAAGCAAAATGTCGCATGATACTCTCCCGGCGCCAGATTGGCTGGGGTGGCCCAGCATCCACTGGGCCACCCCAGCAGGTGCCTATTTCATGCCAAACACCCTTCACCAAGGGTGTTAGCAAGCATCCTTTGTAAAGGGTGCTTGCCTGAACGCCATAAGGGTGTTAGCCCAGGGACAAACTGATTTACACCCTTAAGTGTGTAAAAACCTTTACTATGTACTCAAGGATTCTCTTTCCCATTAGTGCCAGTAACCTTGTGTAAAGTGAAAAATATTGTAACTGAACAGTAGAGAGTTTTAGTAGATCGCCCCCATGACTCCGATAACGATACCTGATACTCCGCCACCGCCTCCCTTGCGCATGCATGGTATCGTTATCGGGGCTATCGGAGGTATCGGAACGATCTACTAAAACTATCTATTGTTGCACTGTCCCTTCACCTGAAGTTACTTTCTTTAATTTTTTTTAACTGCTGCACTACCGGGGGATCCTAATGGTGGGACAACATACCATCCCTGAACCTGCGACGACTGGAATGGTGGTCCCAACCAGCGTCGTAAGACTTAGTACTCAAAACGTCCAATAAATATTGAGCAGCCTTGCAGCAGCTTCGCGTGTTATTACTATGTAAGAGTTTCTGGGGTTGAGTTCTAAAACTTGACCTCCCGAAACTCTTGACAGTCTTCTGAGGAACACTGAGGCAGTCTCTGATAAATTATGTATTAAGTGTATAACTACAGCCACTTTCGGCCAGTGACTGGCCGGAAGTCAATGGCCAGTGGCTGGCCGAAAGTGACTGGCCAAAGGTGAATGGCAAGTCACTGGCCTAAAGTGAATGGCTAGTCACTGGCCAAATGTGAATGGCCAGTCACTGGCCAAAGGTGAATGGCCATTCTCTGGCCTAGAGTGAATGGCCAGCCACTGGACAAAGGTGAATGGCCAGCCACTGGCCTAAAGTGAATGGCCAGTCACTGGCCTAAAGTCAATGGCCAGCGACTGGCATAAAGTGAATGGCAAGTCACCAGACGAGGACGAAAACACTTTTATTGCCGAGCACTTTGGCCAAGCTTGGGCCATCGAAAATCTGGTTGGCCATAGTACACTTGCCAGCGATGGCCCATTCACAACGTGCTGCTTGGGTATGCCTTGGAGCCTTGGCTCATCACCCCTCTCCCTGGATTCCACGCGACCCTCAGCGCATGCGGTCGGTTTAATATAGCATATTCTTCGACGAAGTCCGTTGTGGAGCGCTGCATTTGGCTGTTGAAAAGCAGATACCGGTGTCTGGAAAGGCACCGGGTTCTCTATTATCATCCTACAACAGCCACCATCAATATATCGGCGTGTGCAGCGCTCCACAATATCTGCCTTTCATCGAAGGAGCCAGAACCGGAGCCAGACTCTTACCCTGACGAGCCAGGGTTGGAGTCTGGGCCGAGCTCGGACGGTTCAGAGTCAAGCTCGGAGGGGTCAACGGCGGATGACGAGAGGCCGGCTCCTGCCCACCCTCAAGTCAGCCTCTCGGACAGGGGGAGGGCTCTGAGGCAGCGCCTTGTTGCCCAATTCCAAACCTGCCACAGCCGTGCCGCCCGGGAGCCCCATGCAAGCCACAGTGGCAGTCCCGCCCACCAGGGACACCACCAGCGCCAAGGAGTCTGTCGCCACAACGGAGGTCCCGCCCATCAGGGACACTGTCGGCGACAGGGAACCCTTCATCGTCCTCGCCGCGGTGGCACTCCCGCACACCAGGGACACCACCGGCGACAGCGAACCTTTCGTCGTCCTCACCTCGACTGACGCCCTTGACACCAGAGAAGCCCTCCCTATGGCAGTATGTACTTCACTTGTTGTTCCACAGTCATGGCCGTCCATAAGCTCCACAGTGTCAACTCCAACGCCTTCGTAGTTCGCCGCACAACCACCATGCTACCTTTAAGGACATGTAGTACTGCCTCCGAAAAGCTATTCGGTGCATCACGGTGATGTTGATGGAGCCTTTTTTAATTTGAAAGCAGGGTGCATTAAATGTGTGGGACAATAACAGAAGGTTTTGTAAGGTTATGAAGCTAGCCAACAGGGGGCATCTGGCTCGCCCTTGCAGGAGACTAAGAACTCAATGAGTCTACTGGCGATTCCTAGTTTCCTTTCTTTACTGCAATATAATGTTTGTATCGGGTTTGTACATCGATTAATTTTCTCTACACTTCCATTGCCCTGCTCCATTTTACAATCTATTATGGCTACCACAGAGCCAGGTGTATTACTCGATAATTGCAGATTGGATTTGTTTCAGGTTGAATGTATAAAGAAGACAACAAGCAGTTTGTTTTTGAAAGGGCTTTCTTTTTTTTATAACAGTGCCGTATGTAACGTAAAAAATAAACATGAAAAAACACAGGTTCCAGTGCTTTCTTTAAAGGGAAATTGAGCATAGACTAGTAAACACCGTATAAATTTTTTGTCATTATCAAGGATATATCACAGACATTATTTCACACTTCACTTCATTCACGACACTGCTATTTCGTTTGCATTTTGTCACACATGGAAGCATGACATTCCATAGTAGAGGCATGTTGACATCAACAATGATATAAGAAAACGAAAACACACAAAAAAAACTCGGGGACACAGACGAAGGTAACCAGGACAAGATGCACTCTCAACTAAAGTTTATTGAAAATTCAACTTCAGTTGAGTGTGCGCTTTGTCCTGTTTCTCTTCGTCTGCCCCCGCAGGGGGCACTTGTGAAAGCAGCCCTACCGAAAAAACGAGTATGATTTTAATCGGGAAACAAATTGGTTTTGTCAAAACCCAGTTTAAACAAACCAGGGAACATACTGATTTCCACTACCCAGTTTAAACATTTGGGGTTTCATACTGTGAATGAAATCGGAACTCTAAAACCCAATTTGGGCATGCTGGGTTTTAATCGGTAAGTATATATGGAAGTAAGAACCCAATTTGGGCATCCTGGGTTCCAACCGGGAAGTATATATGGAAGTAAAAACCCAGTTTAGGCAAGTTGGGTTTTGGCTGGGAGATGTTATATTTGTAAAACCCAGTTTCGGTAAACTGGGTATTAACCCGGGAATACAGCAGTGTATAACCATTTTTCAGAGAAGCTGGGTATAAAGTGGGAAGGTGGGCTGGTTGACTGATGACTATAATAACTCTAAAAGATGATGTGCATGGTGCTTTTCTGTAAAGAAACATATCAAAGCAACGATCTAAGAAAGTTTGAAGTGAATGCGTGCGTAGAGGCGAGGTGGTTGCAAGCACCGGCATTAACAGTTAAGTGGGGAAACAACGAGACAGGAAATCACCAATGTCCAAACACAGATTATTATTGAGCGAACCACATCCTTAAATAGATAACAAAGTAAAAGAGCCGAATATACCAGAAGACGACTCGGATAACGCCAACTAGGACACACAAACCTAACTAGGCGATGACATATTGAATCCCCAAACCAGGCTTCACTACAAAGAGAGTACAGTTGGATGCAGACTAAATTTAGGGTACACGCGTCAGGATAAAAGTACATAAAATCACTAAAAGAGAAACCATAGACATTGGCCAGGCGATGACATGAACCCCAAAACCTGGTTTTACAACAGAGACGTTGACACGCGATGACACAACAAACTTTGCTACGTAAAGCAGGTATCTTTACGACCTTATCCGACTATAACCGGTACGCCACTTCCTGTATAGGACAAAGCTCAAAGCGACAAACTTTCCAACAAAAAATACAAACAAACGAGGGTGTCCTTCACACAGAGTGTGCGAGAAATTCCGAGGAACGCCCCTTGTGGAGAGCGCCAATGTCGCTGGATTCTCCAATCCCTTCCTTCAAGAATTCGCGAAATTTAGTAGTTGCGAATTTTATGGCCTTGTCCACAAGAATTTGCAAACTTACTAAGTAGACGCATATCTGCACCCTTTTCCACCATTCGTGAAATTGAAGAGTTTTACAGCAACTGATTTGGAATACATGTCCAACTGTATATTTAGTACATAAAGGGGGAAATTTATAATGCTCTGCAAGAAGCCAAACATTTTTTTTCTACGGTCCTTGAGGTAAAATAAGTTTAGCTTAAAAGAGGACGACTAGAGAACAGCTGTTCTTTTAAAAAAAATACAGATCACTTATTACAGCTATATACAACAAGCCGTTTATACAGTGCGAAACGAGGCTCAATATGACGCTCAAATTCAAACATAGTCCTCTTTAGTCGCGTTCAATCTCGTTTGGTAGCGTGCAAACATAGCTGGACACGGGGTTCTGAAACCTCATAAAAAGGCATGCTGCCTTCAGATTGTGAGGCTCCAGGACATGTAAAGTACCAACCATGGATACAAACCAATCCTTAATATGTGAAGGAAAATGCCCACTTTCTATAAGGATAACTTTCTTGCACAGCAAGAAAACCCTTCCACTGAGGGAAATGATCTTTGTTATTACAAAGAAGTCTCTTTCGTTTGTCTCAATGACAGATGAGTCAGACTTTGTGGCACGCTTGTATGCTGTGCTGTGAAAAATCTGCCGTCAGTAAACCAGCCGTGAGTATTCCACACAGGTCCCAGGACATGGCTGTCCTGCAAAAGCAGCGTGAACTTCTTTTGGAGTCTCTAGTTGCTTAGCATGGCCAAGCAAACAAACATCCCCAGCAAAAACAAAGTTTTCTAGCTTTGCATATCCCAGCATTTCTCGGCACAAGCTTGCAATGTGCTGAGAGACCAGTGAAGAAGAAAGAAAACACTCCAGTTGTTGAGACATCACAACTCTCTCAACAATTTGGAGCGGTGCACCACTGGCCCCAGTCACCAGCTTGACGAGCCGTCCATTTCCGCTCTCGAAAACAAACGCTGAGTGAGCCCAGAGAGGTCCGAACCGGCGAGCCACCTCTGCCAGGTGCAGCATCTGATGGACATTGAATGTCATCGCTGTCGATTCATACAACCGCTGCGTGTCAACAACGAAGAGCTTCAGCAGTGTGTCTGCAAAGAGAAAAATTTTAAATATTTATTTTTATTTTAAGGCCAAGTGAGCAATATTAATAAGAGCCACCCTCAGATCATGGACTTGTTGATTCCTGAACAACAGACTGTGTTTGAGTTACCAATGTCCGATATCAATGCAACCCATTACATACTTACTAGAGTGTCGCCCTCTTCTCCGTGTCAACTGAGATATCTACAGACCGCACACGCGAAGTGCAGATGTGCAACAGAGCTGAACACAGATGTTGGCAGAGTGGGCAAAAAAAGCTGCTCTTGAGTGCGGCTGAGCATGTATTCTGGCCAAAACCGATGCGATGGATGCCACATCCTTCCTCCAGCTTTTTGATTTTCTTATCTTCAGTTCCTTTTCTCAACACTTATTAGTTTCTTTTTACAAAGGCTCTTAATTACACGCTGGTTTCCCTCACTTGGTCACATGATAGCCCGGCTAGCTTTTGTATAGAGTATAAGGTATATTAAATAAGATTAATTGAAAGAACTAGACAAAACTTGCATGACAGAAGTGCGAATATGCAAGTTGCGTCACCACCTCCAAGTTTATCAAGGCAAAAGCCGTATATGTCTCATCGTTCAGTCGACCTTCAAAAAACGTTGGTGACACAAAGGTACCATAACTTCCCATTGGCTGGGATGCATCATATCAGGACCGGCTTGCTAGAAACAGCGTCTCAGCATAGACTAAGTGAGAGAAAGCACTGCTAAAGCCAGCGCACGAGCTGAGTGGGACTCAACCCGCATCTCAAGACGCTCCCACGTCCCAGCCTTTGTAGTGCTTTCTTTCACTCAGTCTCAGCCGAGATGCTGCTTATAGCAAGCCGGCCCAGGTGCTTCGTCACAGAAGCCGGCGAGGCCGCTTGAGGTCAAAGCGGACGTGCCTCAGAAATAAAACACAAAGGAAAGAACAGCAATGCAGATGCACCGCGAATGCCAATGAATTGGTGCCAAAAGTGTGTCATTAGAGAGCGCGCTGTCTTCGGAAGCTCGCTATCACCGGGACCACAGTCAACGCCACGATCCGAGTGAGCCAATGAAACGGCACCAAACGTGTGTCGTCATAGAGCGTGCTGTCTTCGAAGGTTTCCTATCACGTTTACGTGACCACTCAAACGAATTAGAGGCAATGAATTTGCAAAGTATGACAAAGCGAATTAACAGGAGAAAAAGTGAATTAAGTCAAGAGCGGCAAGTGCAGACTCAAGCCGGCTCATGTGTCTGTCTTTAATGCATTGGCGCTTGGGCTTTCGCCTTCAAGTCGTTTTAGGGTTAACATAAGAGCCCTGTTAATTTTTTGAAGTAGCAGAAGTTAACAACCCCCTTTCGTGCCTTCTGTGTTGGAATAAGCTCTCCTTGCTCACATTACAACAAGTAAAAAAAAAGCGCATAGATGTTCAGAGAGGTCTTGCCTTGCAGCAACCAGCAGCACCCAATGAAAAGGCAAGCCAGCTGCAACACCGCACTCTACAATCACCATATGTCTAGACAAAGTAAAAAAATATAATGTGGAAACACTCACCAGCACGGTCAATAGAGAGCTGCGTGAGCTGATCGCTGAGGAGGATGTGCACAGCCTCTACGAACTGCTTGAGATGCGCCCAGTATTGTTGCGGCAGCACGTCGAGTGTACAGGGGAGGGAGTAGAACAACAGCCAGTGGCGCCATTCACTGGCCTTCCAAGATCCTCGAGTGCCGAGTGGCCTGGGCAGTCTTGTGAACGAGTGGGGTGGCTTGATCGCTGCAAGCCGCCGGTTCATCTCCGCAACACGTGCAGGGGTGCCTGCAAGTTCAGTCAATGTGTCCAATAATAATTAAAAGGGTGATGAAAACAAAACAGATTCACCTGGTTTTCACTTTCCAGCTTCTTTCACCAGTACGAATGATATTTAAGAAATGTTTCAGCAAAATATTGCACCAATATTTGTGTTTAAATTTATGTTTAAGAAATAGTTAGCTGAAGAGATCACTCAACTTGAGTGGTTATTGTGAGAGTTGAAGCATGTCACGTCAGGTTTGCAAGAATAAAGAACAATCGCAAACGTTTTGTGTGAAAATAAATCAGATTGAAAACAACAGTGTGCCAGATGCAATTCCGTCATACATTGTTTGAGTCTCCTGTTTCGCAAACAAGCAGCATTCCGTCCAATGTTTACAGGCGGACTCGGCACTGACAGACTAACAACTGTGTTTGCATTTTCTAACTGAGGTTTTGTTGTAGGAGTGCTGTGGCTTGCAGATCTGAATTATTTGGCAACATCAATGCTTGTCACGCAGATAATCGGCTATGACTTTGGTGCGTGAGCAGGGTGATGCACTTCGGCTCTAGGCTGCTAAGACTGATGCAATGTCTCCGTTTCCACCGCTGCACTTCTCCACACGGTGTTCCTCGTTTATTTCAATAAGTGTTCTTGTGCCGACAGCAAATCCTGCGAGCTCGTGGAAAAGATTAGTATCAAGAACGATAGGCCTGTTGAGAAAGCTGCACCCAAACAGCAGCGAGAGGCCGGCAGGGCAAGTGGCAACGGTATTGTTTGTCTCTGGGCTGTCTGTAGGATTTTTTGTTACAAGATTGTACAATTCTCTTCCAATGTCACTATTAACATTAAAAAAGATATATCATCGCAGTTGCCAAACCAGGAACTGAAAGCGTTTGACAAAGCTGCTCAACTCACCACATATGTACAGTCGGCCTTAAAAAATATGAACACAAAGGAGCAATGGCCCGGCCGGCGATAAGGCGACACGGGGCGCTACGATAGTGTAAGCATGCTAAGGCCACAATTACCGAATTAGTCCACTTTTGGATACGTGGGGGACGTCGGCACACCGAAGTCGTTCCCAAAGCACGTTTTTCAAATGACACTGTTTGACCGCGCACATGTGTTCTGTTTTCGCTCACTCCTTGAGAGCAGAACTATCTTTTTTATCTTTGTTTTACCGTCATTTACGATTTATTAATGGTAAACTGTCAAAACTAACAAATAAAAAAACTGCCCGTAAAAAAAAAAGAAAAGGAAAATGATTGCAAACAATAACTCTCTTCAAGCACCCCTGCGATTCAAAAGTGGGAATGCCCCGGCCACTCTCACTCCCAGTGTTATCACGAAATACAGCACATCTGGCGGTTTCCCCGCGCCGGCCACGCATAATCTTTTTTAAGGCCGCGTCTACATGACTGTGCATATGTAGTTACCAAATAGCTTTGTTGCCTTATAATAGCCCTTTCCCCTGGCAAATAGCGAGCGCTCGGCGAGCGCTCGCTGAGCGGATTCTTGTTTCCCTCGCGAGATGAGAGCAATCTCTCCGCGTGCCGCTTGAAGATCTGGAGCCAGTGGGGCGCTCGCCGAGCGGCTCCAATCGCTCCGTGGAAAAGTGGCGGAGCGCGTTGAGCGGTCCGGAGTAGTTCTCCGCGCTGCCTTTTTCGGAGGAGTACGATCTGTAGCCGACTCTCGCAACGTCTCAGTTTCGTTATCGACATTCCCGCGGGGGAGTGAAGGAGTTTCGCAGCTTTTTTGTTTAGACTGCTGGGTGGGCTCTCTTTGTGTGCTCGTTTTCGTTCCCCTCGTCATGACCGACTCGCTTGAGCATACTGCGGCGATGACATCGTTGCAGTTAATTTCAGGAGGTCTAATAAAACGCAGTGACAGCGACGAAGATACCAGCTTAGCTCCAGCTGGAGTGATGACGAGGCAGCCATTCTCGGCGAAGTATTTGCAGAGTCGTTTGGCCGGCCGGCGAACAGGCCCAAGATACCGCGTTACGCCGAAGGCGTTGTGCGCGCCTATTCGGATGAAGAGCTAGGTATGTCGTTTGTTTGTTTTATGGTTTCTGTAATGTAATTGGAATAATTAGAAGACAACACGCCAAATACTCCGCAGATGTAAGTCGCCTTTGCAGGTGACGATCGCTTTACGGCATACGTGTTTGGTATTGCTTAATAGCATCCTACGGCTCGTACAAGTACTTCTAGTTGTCTTCATCGGGCTTATATAACTGTAAGGAAAAATAAATTGTGTCTTAACGTCGGGGCCACCGTTAGTCAAGTAGTAAACAATCAATTTTTTGTCAAAGCATACAGTTCCGATCAGAACTTCATGCTTTCAGCAAGAAACCAATGGGAGCCGCAACTGTTCAAAAGCGGGAGCAGACGCTCTGGAAGCGGTGGCGCTGGGAGCGTTACATTCGATTTGCTCCGCAGCGCGTACCACTGGGATGGGTCACGTGACCAATCGCTCACAGAGGCCGACCGCTCGACGACCACTAGCACGGAGCGCTCGGCATTTGCCAGGGGAAGGGGCTATAAGTCACCACATGTTTGACTGAAAAGTAAACATTTGTATGGACTGCAATTGAATCGATTTTCATTTCAGTGGGGACAGGAACAGCAAGAATAGTCTATTGTGAGCGAGTTCAAAGTAACAGGGCACGTGGCAGCTGCTCTAAACAATGAAAAATTGTGGGATCTCTGTGCATTCCGGACCATGCGATGGACCGCATTTGTATGTTGCTTTTTGAGCATAATGCTTCGATCTGCGACGAAGTGCATTGTTAGCGGGAATGCTCGATCATCGATTTCAGGTGTCTGAAGACAACACAGTGACATTTGCGACTGCAAAACCAGTCGCAGTCTGTATCGGTTAAAAGGGTTATGTCAAAAAAATATCTTCTAATCTGCATTCCAATGCAGTAAGTGCTGGCAACCATTCCTTCTTACAGTTCTTGTGTGGGGTTTTGTGTGAAATTTACGCAGCCTCTAAAAATCTCCACGACAGTGAAGTTGTCTAAGGCATTTTCCATCGCAAGTGGAATCAATTCACTGCACTGTTGTAATCCCCGCCTGTCCCATCATCCTCCAGCGCGCTTGCTTGGGTTCGTGGTTGGTACATCTACTACAACATAGATGGTAACAGCACCGGGTCGTGCTCAGCGAGTTTATTTGAGACTGGTTTTCGGTGCACCTCTATGAGCGTGATGCAATTCTGGGAAAAGCCAGTACAGTGTCAAACGAACTGTTCATTACTCATGACTCAAGTCTGTGTTACATCTAATGAGTGTTATTTTGGTTTCGATTTCAAACTACCATGATGAAAACGTTAATCTAGCTAAAAAAACAGAGCTAGCAGTTGTTATATGTATTAGAAGCGCTTAACAAAGTTATACCTGTGTCAGATGGGCATTTAAAATTAAACTCAGCTGAATGGCATTTAGGAATCAGTGAAACAATGCGTGCCTCTAAGAATGCTGAGAGTGCCACGAATGTCACTCGGTCCCGGAAGTGCAATCTGATTTGCTGATTGCTTAAATACCATTCTACTAAATGCAGGTGCTCGTCTGAGAGCAGTGCTGTTGGGTGTGCCAGCAGCTGGGAGTCATGTTGCACACAGCTAAGGAATGAAAAAGCAGGCAATACCAGCAATGCAGCCTATGTGGACGTGTGGAATACTTTCAGCATCATTGCTCTTTTATACAGTCAGCAGCTCTGGTTGTGCTTTTTGATTGCTGCTCATGTACTCTTGGAGTTAGCGTATGCCAACATTTTATAGTGCAGCTTTCATGAACTCCTGCAAAAATTGCAAAGCCTCTTTTCCAAAGTTGCAAAGCCTAGTTTCAGTGTGCTTCTGTGGTGCGTGTGTGCACAATGGTAGCCAACATAATGTTTTGGGACGACAGTGCCCTTTCAAAGCATGTGAAATTCTGTAGAGTTAACTTGCAACCTCTCTCACCATCATCGCCCCAATGAAATATTGAATAGCACAAGGAGTAACCATTCGAGATATTTTTGTACAAGTCAGTGCTACTAAGTGTGCTACTTTGTGCTAGTAGAGCATGAAGGGGCACACTTCTAGGATATTCTTATGTCTTACTATATTCATAATTTTGTGTAGAAAACTCACCAATGTAGTATCTCTTTTGGGAGTTTGATGAAGTAAGCAGTTCCTCGGTGATCTGGCGGGTAACGCCCAGAAGCACGCCGTGCATGTAGTCCACCGTGAAGCCCCACACTAGGTCAAAGTGGGGAAGCTTCACGGTAGGAGATGGGCCCTTGTACCCATTGATGGGCACAGAGCACTCTAGACCGAGGGCCATGTCCCTCAGAACGCCTTCCGTTGTCCTGTCTGGTGAATCAGATGAATTGATGTAGCGCACACATCCTGTGACGCAAAAGTTAAAATACATAAAGAGTTCATTTATACACAGGCCAGGTGCATGCTGTTAAATAAAGCCATGAAAATTGAGAAAAGAAAGACAAAAAAAAAGACTGATTAATAAGTCTGGTTTACAATTTTTAATAAAAAATAATGCATTTACATTAATTATAATTTAACTCTTTGGTCACAAATTTAGGCACCTCAACCTTGATAAGAGTTTATTACATTCCTATACTCCTAGAACAAATTTGGTGATATAGGGGTGATAACTTCTGCTATACACTCCAGTCATGGCCGCAATGTCTTCCTGAAATTTGCAATGGGGAAGGATTGATCACTGCAATGGAACAAGCACACTCGTTTTTTACAGCTTCATTTTTCTTATATATTGTTCACCAATGTTTGCTACTTCAGGAAACCTACTATACTCGTTTTCACCTCAATACCGGCTAGTAAAAAAAGACTAGCTTTTGCGGAGGGTTACTAATTCTCATCTTTTTGTACTCAGTTAGGTACGTGTTTATGACCAAAATGTAACCTGAGTAAAATGCACAATGAAATGCCCAGCACGTCATGTAACGAGTCGGAAAAATGGCATTTGATCGCGCTAAAGGTACTCGGCCTTTAATTGTGCATCAGTCTCATGTCGAATGCGTTTAGATTCAGCCATCTTTCCAACACATTGTATGATGGACCAGGCACTGTGTGCATCTAGCCCTTAACAATAAGGATTTTGTATGAAAAAGCTCCAATAAATTAAAAATCACTCAAACAAAATCACTACTCATTTTTTGCTTAAATTTATTGAGCCAAATAGTTAATTTGATTGCAATATGTTTATCTCTCTGCCCACATTTCAAGGGAGATAGTAAATCAATTTGGTGTAACATGCTTGTATGGCTCTGGAGAATAGAAGAACATATTGAAATATGTCTCTGCTACATGGCTTGTTTTCAAATGTGAAGCACCTAAAGGGGTTATGACACAAAAATTAAACGGATAGATTATTCTTGAAATGGAATGCTCATAGGCTACTTAGTATATACACAAAGTTACGCAATTTTTAGAGCTCTGGTAATTGCAATATTCAATTTACGAATTTTTATCACTTTCATCTGGCGACCAGGCAACGCTGCCCAAGTTGGTCACACCATGGTGTCCATAAACCATATGACCATGAACGCTCTCTCGTTCTAGGCACCCCCATGATCACCAAAGCTCTCCTCGCCGTGGTACGATCAAAACCGCTCACGCAACTCGGTAACCCAAAAGCTATTCGCACTCTCGCCCCGGCTCGTTGACCTTCCACCCCGCATGCGCCTGCAAGATATTCTCGGACGGTGGTGACCACGGCGAGTTCGTCCGTAACTCGTCGTCGCTGGAGCTGGTCGCCAGCGGGTCGCAGTCAGATTGAACAGCTTCCAACATCTCTTGTTAGCAATCACTCTGATCGCTGCTGCGATCACTGTCAAACATTTTGACAAGGGGAGCAATGCCGTAGAAGTAATCGTCACGGACCGCATGCACGCAATGTGGAAGGTAAACGAGGCAGCTGAAGCTCAAGACGCTAAGAGAGCCAAGTCTGTGAATGCGTGCAAGGAGACACCGCGCTGGAGGCTGGCTCTGTAGCCAGCCTTCAGCTCCGCCCGGATCCGGCCCTCCGAGGGACCTGCATATAAATCGATTTACCCATCGAAACTATTCTGCCATTTTAAAAACAAATTTAGCAGGATTATGGGAGCATCCAATGGGTCCTAGCAGTATAGTTATCTTATATTTTATTTTTTTGGCATGTCATAACCCCTTTAACATTGTGCTTTAGCACCAAAGACAAAAATATGCAATCATACGTTACTGAATAATTGTCTTTGCTACAGTTCGAAACTGCAAAGTAATATTCTCACCCTCAATGTAGTCTCCTTTGATTAAGCACCACGGGCAGCCAAAGTAACCGTTGAACAGCACACAGTTCTGGACCGCAGATCGTGCTGGTGCATCAAGGGAGAAGCAGATGACAAAGGCTCTCGAAGAATGGCGGGTCCCTTGGTGCTCCCAGACAACTGGCTCCATGCTGTTGATGTCCTCAACAAACTTATTGAGGAATAGAGCCATGTTTGGGTGTCCCTTGCCAAACCACAGTCCTGCGAGGGTGCAATGCTCAAAACGCTGGGGGACCGGCAGTTCGTTCACCGTGAACTGGATGGGCCAAATGGAAGCCCCAGATGAAGAAAACACTGGACTGCCATCGGTGTTCACGGTGAGGGTGAGGTCACTGGCACCCAGACGCCCGCTTGCCCGTAGCTGGCAGTGTGTCGTGGCTGAAGTAATGTCTGCGATCACTACAGGCTCACTGGATGGCATATTTGTAAGACTGTCATGTAGCATGGCCTTTGTTTGACTGATGACCTGTTTCAGCTGTTCGTGCATTTTCAATGTTACGAAGAAAGCCCCACTCCTCTTCAGCTCATTGGCTTTGTTTTCTTCCTCGCACGTTGGGCAGAAAAGGGAATCCATTCCGTCACGAGACGATAACAGGTCACTGCAGGAATTGCAGTAATAGTGGTACTCTACCAGTTTTTCGGTCTTCGACCCCCACAACTTCCGAAACAAGTATTTGCTCCGGGGGAAGACGTCTGCCGCCGGAGCGAAGAAAATGTTGCCCATTTTCACGAGGTCGTCCAAACCCTTACAGCTCAGCCCATTTGCCGATAGGAAGGACATCATCAGCGCGACCGCTTCGGCTTTCGTGGTGGTTGAGTGCGGCAATGTTTCCGATCCGAATTCACGAAGTCCTGCCGCCAGGAATTCCTCTTCCGACATGGCATCTGGTGGAGGGATGTTTTCGTCGACGTACTGACCTCCATCGGCCGTCTCAGTGTCGTCTGCGCTGTGTTCCTCGTCACTGGATGAGTACAACTCGTCGTCGTCGTCGTCGTCGTCGTCGTAAGTGCCACCGGGAGGGCTTTCTGATCCGGCGGGTTCCGAATCCGAGTGAGCCGAAGGCTCTCGTGTGTGCGACTCGCTGTCGGAAATGTGGACAGCAATCGTCGATGGCAGGCTTTGAGAAGACAATTCTGTATTTGCGGAACTCGTCGATGAGTTGATGGCCCTATAATGTGCCATTGTCGACTTTGGAACATCAAAACTATTACCCTTCTCGTAATAGCGCAGCCGCCGACGCTTGGGTTCGCCGCCGCTGGCCATATTTTCTGCGGAAGCTCTAGGGCCCCTAGACAACCTTGTCTCAAGACTTTACGAGGACACAAAAGCTTTTAAGATGTCACTGAAACAAGAAACTCCGTAGGGGCATAGCAGCCTCGCTGGCAAACTATGTACATCACCATGCTTTGGCTCCTTGGCGTAGCTCGCTCGATCAGCTGAACGACGTACCTTTAGAAATGGATTGGTTTGGATTAGATTGTTACTGGGGGTGTTGCTGCTGTCTCGATACAAGTGCTCAAAGTTAATTTCAAGACTGAGATTTTGTTTCATTCAACAAAAATATGGTTCAATAGTATAAATTAAAACGTACAACACACTAATGCGTACTATTATAAAATAATTTTGAGAGGAATTTTAATTTACTTTTTTTATTTCCATTAGTTTTTTCCGATTCGATCCAATCCGTAGCCGATTGAGTTTCCCTTTACCGCCTTTACTTTCTGCTCGTCCTTGTTCCTCGCTCAGTTTCAGATTTCATTTGTGTCTCGGAGTTTATTTGGTTTGTTTTGATTATCGCTATCTCTAGTCTTGTGGTTTCTGCGATGAGGTACGCTTAGATCAAATATGTTCAGGACGGAAAGCGGGCCGTTCTGCCTGTTTCTCTACTACAGAGGTTTTGTGCGAAGTCGAACGACGACCTTCCTTCGGCTTCCGTGAAAGCTTACTGGAGAATGCCGAACGGTGATGAGGAAGGATATTACGATGCCCATGTCCTACACCTTGCAGGTGAGTACACTCTAAGAAAAAATGGAGGAAAAAAGTAGCAACGGCGCGCCTTCCTCCCTCCTACCGACGCGCCCCCAAGCGGACACGAGAAAAGGGGAGGAACGAAATGTTTTTCTCCTTCTCCAGGCAGACGGGAGAAAGCTTTCGCCCTCCCGACTCATCGTCTTTCGGTTTCGTTTTTCGAGCAGGTCGCGCGCGTTGTTTAATAAATAGCTGTTGAGTTGATTGAGCTTCAGCAGCAGCGAAGGCCGCCTGTAATTCCATCTTCTAGTTTAAACGTCCAGAACATTTCGGTTGCATTGACGTTTTTATCACTAATTTTATCAAACGAGCAAACGAAGCCGCTAGAAACAGCGAAGTTCGGAGCAGTGCCAGCAGCGCCACACACTGGGGGATGGCCCTCTCCGGATTGCGTGACTCGCGCGGCACGGAACGACGGAACTAGAGCAACTAGAGCCACTGCAGGCTGCAGCACTACAGACTACAGTAGCGAAAGCACGCGGAACTGTGTCGACGTTTTCGACCTTATGGAAACTGCAGGAACTGCGTCCAAGACAGGCAGGCTTTGCTGCCGGCTGCCTGGGTGCCTTCCCCCCTGAGTTCGGTTCTGTTTTCCGATGCCGAGTGCAACCGGCGTTCAACGTGGTTTTGTGTTTGTGCGTGTCAGCAACATAGCTGCAACATCGTGATGACAGTGTTGGGTTCTGAACAGAAGACTGGAATTATCGCCGGTGTGACCATGTGTTCGCGTATCAGTGATGTAACAAGAAGATGAGATCGTAAACTGTTGGGCATTGATGCCGCTGGTCGGGTTGTGATCGGAGGGGGCGGGGTGTCGCAGTTTGACATTCCGCTTTACATTAAAAAGTTTAATACCACTTGATGGGTTACGTGCAATCGATCAACGTGCAGATAGTCATGTTGGAACGCTGGTCTGAACAGTAGAAGCTCCTATCGTACAGTGGCCAATGTGACTGTCGGAATTGTCTCGTCCCCGACAGCGATTGCGCTCAGGGGCAAGGACTGAACAGTACGAAATCGTGACGTAAAGTGCGTATATTTACAGTATGGAATTTCGGCATTAAAAACGGTAGTAGGTAAAATCGGAAAAAAAGCTACCCTTTATTTTGCTGTTTAATTATACTACGGTTGCTGGAGAAACTGCCCTCCGTGGCGCGCTGGGATCAGCGCTAGAAGTTTTCGGGCTCGCCACGGCGTAGTTCCGTACACTTAACACTTGCCGCAAATCGCGGCTTTGACTGCATTCAAGTTGATCGAAAAGCAATTTCTCAGTCCGTGAAGCATCACTTCCAGCTGACTGAATATCCGCTCTACAGAGATTAATTCAAACGGCAATTGCAGCTTCGCGCGAACAGCACAAATAGAAAAACAAATAGAAATACAAGCTACGACTTGCCGTGTGGGGAAACAAACTCATGGCTTCGAACCGCATTGGAGCGGCTTGATTTATTGGCTTTCAAATAATTACGGCATGATTGAGCGTTTACTTTTTAATAAGAGATTCAACCCCTGAGCCATTCAAAATACTCTGTGGGGTATGACATTGCAGGAAAAAAATGAACATGCTGGGAATATCTTTTATTGCTTAGGGAGTCACCGAAAAGTTCCGCACGTTCAAAACGACCAGTATAAAAGACGGAAACGCAGAGCAGGGGTGTAGTGTTCGGGTTAGTGTGGTCGGTGTGGTGTTCCGTTGTATTGATATTTTTGTGTGCAGTGCATGTGCTTAATGTATGTTCACCTGATGCTTGTAATAAGTGTATATGGGTGTCATGTGCGTATTCGCGACTCCAGCGACCTATAGGGGGCGCCTCCACCAAACAAACATGGCGGCTGAGTCCAGGTCGCGTCGGCTCGGCCGGGCTGCCTGAACAGGTGGCGCGTTCAATTTAACAGATTTCCTTTTGTTTAATGCCCGATTTTATAGGTGTTTGAACTGAGACGGTTAAGTGCAGCCGGTGCGCATAAACTTGCAAAGCATGGTTTTGTTTTCCCGGTGTTTTTTGTTCTTTTCATGTCAAACTTTCGTTTCGGAGATTTCGTTCAAAACCGAAACTATGGGCTCCGGAGGGGCGGTAAAATACTAATCAGTTTTGATCATCTAAGGAAAGTGGCAGTGACTACAGAATTCTTCCACCGAGAGTAATTTTCAGCTAACTTGGATGCCTCGACCATGCGACTTCTGTGTCCGCGAAATCGAGCTTTTGTGCGTATCCACGTTCAAGAAACAGCTCCAGTTGTCTGCTCGGTCAACAACACAGGCTGCAGGAAAATTACGAAAATTAAGCAAGCGCTCCTTGAGCCAAGGAGCATGTTAACCCGCCGGCACCTCACTAAGCAGCTGATACTCGTATTTCAATTCAGGTTTTAGTAGCAATCGAGAAGTCATTTTGACGAGCGGGTTATGTATTATATTACGTACTATGTCCCACTAAAACGATATTAGTATATTCTTTGGGTTGAAATATGAGCTTAGTTGACTAGATATTAGGTGAACTGCCGAATAAAAGTCTATTTGACAGACAGAGAGATACTACTTAAACTTAGCCAAATGGTTCTAGCCGGCAGCACGGAGACAAACTGAAGAGAGTCTTCATTGGAGTTCACTGAACGGAGAAAAGAAGTATTTTTTTTTGTGGTTGGTCAATTTGAGCGATGTAGACATATATTGCTGCTGGCTTTGACGGGGGTATAATATAAATATTGGAGGCGCGATAGATCAAAATGCCGTGACAGCTTCTAACGTTGCGAGACGCGTCCCCCACCTTTTGAAAACAGATAATTTCCCTCATTCATCATTTGCAGCGAGCAGGTTTTCCTGAATAAAGTAATTTCGAAATCAGCCCAACTCCTTCAGAGTGGTCCAGAGGCTTTTTCGATGAAAAGCAGCCAAGATGAATAGCCAACGCACCGACCAGCGTGGGTGGCTCAAACTTGAAGCTAATCGAACACAACCAAACTCAACAAAAGCACCTATCGAACCTTCCCATTCACTTGACTGCGACATTGGTGCTCCCTCCAGTGAAATGCCTCGTCTGTCGTCCTCAGTCCACTGTTCTACATCCTTATAAAGAAACCCTTTATCAGTTACCAAGTAGTCGTCACTTTGAATCTGTTTCGAGACAGACAAGAAATCAAAACGTTTTTCCATGGTTCCTCCCCCTCCAAGAAATCGAAAGCACGTAACCGTGTGTTGTGGAGTAAACGGACTTTCAAACACGTGATGGAAGGAAACAATCTACTGAGGCTTCACCGCACTGATTAACACTCAGGCGGACCTTCGTGAAATTACACTGTACGCCATCGCGCCGACAACAACTGTCCGCGAAAGCCATCAGAGACGCGGAGGGGCGCGGAGCGACCTGGACCGGCTGGTTCCCGGTTTTCCCGCTTGGCGGCGTCCGTTTTGCTGGAGTCGCGAATAGTAGAGGATCCTCAAGCACAGTAGTGGCCTGAGAGAAGCAAATTATTTTTTGTAGAACATGAATTGGGCGGTACCTAGCGCCACCTAGCCTAGCTACTTGCAATTACTCTGCTTGACCCCGCCATCTGGTAGCTAGCGATTTAACCTTCTATCACGCTACGCGATAAACAGCGGCTTCGAGTTCGTTCTTTCGAGAGCGGCTTTTGGTTTCGCGGAGTGAGTTTGCCCTTCTCCGTGGTGTGCGGTTGACGAAGGAATTGTGACTCGAGGAACACCAAAGGTAAGACGCAAAGTGCGCGAAGTAACTAGGTATCGGTTGTCTCCGTTTAACATCGCAGTGCTGTCGACGAGAAGACTGAGTAACGCCGTTCGAAACGCAGGTTTCTGTACCTGTGGGGGGAGTCTGGCTTCGGAAATAAACACAGTTTGCGGAAAGCTCGTGTTACGCTTTCATTTGCTGCTGCTCTCGTCCCGTACAAGAGACGTAGCGTCCTCGTTAAGCCTTATTGGGCTCGATTTGCTCGATTCGGGGCCGCCATATTGAGATGCAAGCGACGGTGGAACTTTGCTCCCCTGCTTCAGGGGCAAAGGTTTCTCCCTTTCTAAAGGAACATAGGTTACAAGACCGTTCCTCCCGTAAGGGAGGACTATCCGTACCCTTTTTTCTAAGAGTGTACTTTTCTTTTGTTGCGTTTGTCACCCGCACAAGTTTAGAAACGTTGTGGAAGTG